GACATTGTTAGTTCTCTTGTTTTGATGATGATTTACAAACACCATTATTGGTGCTAATTGTTTGATTGAGTAATATTGTGCAGATTATATTTTACCAAGCAAGATAGTGCCAACAGTTGGAGGATTGGACAGAATATGAGCTACAACGATGATATCCAAGAAGGTGGAGGCAAGTTGATGAAGAAAAGTTATCAAGAACAACATACTCAAAAGAAGCTTCATCAACACTTGAGCAAATATCAAGACCAAAAGAATTGTATTCATATGTGTGAGATATTTATATTTTTATTTCTCTCTAGAGCTCAATGTAGACATGTTATTAAGTAGATATCATTTAAAGTGATTGGAATTTACACATACACACACTTATAAGAACCAATTTTTAACCATTTTTGAAAAATGAGTAGTTTTTACAATTGGGAAATGATTTTTCAAAAATTCCTTTTCTAACATGTTTATATTTATGTTTATAAGAATTTCTGAAAGTTTTATATTTTTTAGATTTTATTTACTTTTTTTAATTCTCTTAAAAACTAATTTTTAATCATGAACAGTGCCTGTGCATGTTTATCAATTGACCCATACCTGTTATCAGTTGACTGATGAAACACACTGGAAAGAGAAGAAGTTTCTACTTAGTCGACTGATAAAATATCAGTCGACTGATAAGTTCATCAGTTGACCGATAACAGATAAGCAGCCTGTAACGGTCGGCTCATCAGTCGACTGATGAACAATATCAGTCGACTTATAACACTGTTAATGGGTAGTTTTTATTTGAGCTGAAAATCCTAGATTTGGTGATTTGTTTGGGATTTAGGCTATTGTTTGGAGCTTCTATATATACCCCTTGACCCTCTTCACTTCAGTAATTAAGCAAGTAAAGAAAAATCTCTAAGTTTTGTTTCAAATGTTCTTGAGCTTAAACTTTCAAATCTTCATTCTCAATTGTCTCAAAGTTTTAGATTTCTCTATTCCACATCTCACAAACACCTAATCTTGAGTGTTTCTCTCTTGATCCTTGTCATAGGATTATTGTGAGAGATTTTCTTTTAATTCATCTTGTCATTGTGTAGTGAGATTGATCTTGAGGAGATCATTATGAGGATTGTAAGATCTCATGGGGAGATCATTGTGAAGAGGTTCCAGCTTCTAAATCGGGTGTGATAGTATTGTTATTATTAGGAGAGGTGGTCGAGGACGTAGGTCGGAGGACCGAACCTCGTGAACATATCGTCGTGTCATCTTAGATAACTATTCTCTAACTTTCCTCCTTATTTATTGCCATAACATTTAATTTGTATCTTGTGTTACATTAAATTTTATTTATTGCATATTTATTATTTTATTACCATATTCACCCCCTTCTAGGGTAATTTCACCTTTTTCAAGCGTCATTGCAGTCGCCGAATGGTCTTGCGAAGAGCATGGAACTTGAAGCTCCATGCGTCTCTATCACGATTCAACTCGCCCTAGCGATCGAGTGATTCTTGATGATCTGTTCAAGTTTCATCTTATCAACCGAATCCACCAAACGGCGTAGTATGCAAAGTTCATCCACTTGATTGCTCTTCACTTTGGCAAGCTGCTGTTGGAACTGTTTTATTTCAGCTCCTCTGTCGTGGAGCATCTCTAATATAAGCTAGACATGGGGAAGAAGAAGATGATAAAGGCGGTGGGAATAAAAGAACAAGGCTACTATTTATAGCCACTTTTAAATCCTAACTCCTAAGAAAATCACATCTTTTGAGATTTTATTGGACCAGACAAAGAGGCCAAAACTTAGCCTAAAGCTCAACCAAATCCACAATAGATCTCATGAAATTTTCAATCAAGAGATCTCAGCCACAAATTACAACACAAATCCAAAGGAAAATCTCAACAAACTTCACTAACAAGCGAACGTCACCAATCGATGAGCTTCATCAACACAACTCGGAATAAAACAAGTCTTGCCAGCTAGCAAATGTCGGTAATCGACGAACTTCGGTCAGTAGCCCAAAATTGTTTCACTCATACCCAGAATTAGTCAAAATTCATTGATTTCCCAACATCGTCTCAACAACAGAAAAGATGAACATTGTTCCAAACATAGATTTGGATGAGTACAAGCATCATCGATCTTCGATACAAGTCTACAATAAAGGAGGCTGAGTACACCTCTGGCAACCAAATAGGCAAATAAAGACGAGGTTCATCGCAAAAAAGATAACTCACTCCACATTTAACAGTACACCTCTGGCTATTTACCCAAAGTATTTCAATCCTAGGTACAAATTGAAACGCAAGATCTTAAAAACTTAGAGGGGGGGGGGTCTTGTAGATGGTTAAAATATATTTTTACTTAGAGCGATGATCAACTTGGATCTAAGAAGTGAATGCCTATGGACTAAACACTTCCAATGGGTACAAAATCAAGCCCACAACAAGTTACAGCGAAGGTCATTTGACAAATGAAACAAACCTCGCTAAACAACTCGTTAATTAGCCGAGTCTAGAGTCAATTTTTGTGTCACATTTGAACTCATGAGTGAAGTTCGCCAACCAATGAACGCCGCTCACGTTAACTCAAGTGGACCAAGTCATCGACTTCCGAAGAAGACTCGCCCAAGGCTACAGCGACCCTTGCTTGTGCCCACGTCCACAACAGCCCTCTCCTGCACCTGTAGGGACCTTCGCTTATGTCTTCAGTGAACTTCACTAAGCCCGTGAAGTTCGCCAAATAGTTGTTTTGAGATCTATTTTTAGCGGAATAACCACTCTCCATTATGTTCTACTTTAATGGCCACTTAATTCACGATTAAAGGCTATTAACTCTATCTTTTAGCCTATAAAAAGAGAGGAGATCCTCCATTTTACAAGTTCGAAAGCTGTTGACTTACTAAATCACATAGTCAAATGAAAAGAGCTAATTGTGTTGATGAAGGTCCTCTAACTCTCCAAATGCTTGGTCTTTGGTCAAGCTGTAGTTCCCTACATAAGTAATAGATCATAAGAGGGAGGGATGTGATTTCCTGGTTGTTTCTGACAATCAAGACAATGGGTGGCTTGTGTGGAGAAGTAAAAGAAACTGTAGTAATTCTTAAGTTTAGAGAATAGTGGAAAAAGTTTATCCTGTAATGAAAATAGTATCTTTTCTTGTAGTAGTAGAAGGAGGGTAGGATGATAACTTTGGCCGGACATGAACTGGTGGCCAAGTCAGCTTCAACTTTATAGGTGTCGGCCGAGGAGTGGAGGAGAGGTCACTTCAGCTTAATACGAAGTGATGTTGGGTGTGCGGTGTCGATGTGGTCTGATGTGTCTTAAATACTTTTGGAGGCAGAGGAATGATGACGCCCATAATGCATTTAACGGCATTTATGACGAGTTGGTTGGTCATCAGTGCATAGGAGGGCTCAAGGCTCGAGGCGTTTCATCGCCTTTCTACTCGTCTGGTGGTCGAGAAGTATCGCCATTCGAGTCGCCCTCACAATATGTCATCCAATGGGTTGCCAAGTAGAGTGTTTAAGTAGTCGACTCAGCCAGGGGATGACACGTAATACCTTTTGGGTCGTCGACATGTAACGCCTTTCGAGTCGAGTTCGCAGGATGTCGACGTGTCGAGTCGACTGGGCTAGGTTCTTGATCTCTAGATGCTGACCCGATTATGCACAATGTGGGATAATTGTTTGTTATTGATTGGTGATTATTTTCTATCACTAAAATGGCTATAACAGAAGCCTTAGCCAAGAATACACACGCATAAAGAGATTACAATCGCACTTGCGATTCTTTTTATTGAGAGAAGCTACTGAGAGAAGACTGAGTTATCTTCCAAGCAATCCATTTCTTATAAACAGCAAAAGACCGGCCGTCTTAGTCGGTGCGTCAACAGAGTACAAGATCGACGCTCCATTGGCATACAGAAAAGAACCCTCCCCAGGAAATATAAAATTTTCATTTGTTTCACTCTTATTCTTTATATTGTAATATGAGTTAATTACAATATTAAAAAGACCCCAAACAGAGATTGACAATGGATGGATTTATGATGACTCACACCTTTAAAGGGAGTTATGATATGATATGATCTACTAACATTTCATATTTATAAGAACATCCAAAGTGCATCTGTTACTTCTAAATTAACTTGTTATTGATATGTATACTATTTTAACTGTGTGTACTTACATGAAATTTAGGAAATAGAGACAACAGAATAATTTGTCATCTAAGGGGGTGTTTGGTTGCACAATTTTATAGAAAAGTTTTCTCAAAATGTCTGACAATGGCAATTCTGTAATTAAAAATTTTCTATAGATTTCCGTAAAACTCTGCTTGGTTTAAAAAAATTTTACAGAAATGTTTTCTGTAAAGTACAAAAAAGTACCAAAATTTACAGAAATCAATTTCCTCTTAAAATGGACGGAAATCACCCAGAAATCTGACACCACATTGACATTTTTCTATAAAGTTGGTATTTTTCTATAAATTTAGGAGGTGTTTGGTTCAATTTCTACAAATTATAGAAAACCTTGCTATTTTCTATAAAGTTATGCGATTTTCTTGTTTTGAACTAAACAAGCAAAGTAAAAAAACAAGAAAATTGGTACTGTTTGACTTTTCAAAACTTTTCCAATAAAAATTTTAAGAAATACAAGAAAATTATATTTTGGGTGAAAAATATTTCCTATAATTTGTAGAAATTGAACCAAACATCGCCTAAATGTTGTTGACAAGGTTTCTGCAATTGAAATTTACATTCATTACGCTTGTTTATATTATTTTCTTAAAATTGCGAAACGAATTTACCCACACCTTTATAGGTAGATATTTTGGTGGGCTCCATTGAAAAACGGGATAGTGCAGTGGGTTCGAACAAAACTCCGTGCACTGTAAAAAAGCAATATTAGTTTAGTAAAAATGATTAAATATCAAGTAATAAGACAAATAATCATGACACCTATGCAAATTACCGTTAATAATATTTATCCAGTGCCATTAATTAAATCTAAAAATGAAAAATCCGATGTCTGTGAGAGAGAGAAATAACTTCCTTTCAAATTCCACCCTCCTCCTTTTCCTCCTTTTGAAATGATCGGGTTATCCATCTTCGTCGATTAGGGTTTCATCACTGTCAGATGTAGACTGGTGCGAGATTTCGAGTACAAAGTTAGTTTTTTTTAAGGTGGGGGAGAAAGCTTGGGAGTGATGATTTTGACGGGGACGAATCTCGTGATGACGGTGATCGGATTCGCCGTCAGCACGATGTTCATCGTGTTCGTGTGCACCAGGTTAATATGCGCCAGGATCCAGTTGCGGGCTTCTAGAAGGAATTTTCCGACCGCGGCCAGATCCGATCTCAGCATCGTGAGTTCCCTTTTTTGTACTTTTTTTTACTATTTTTGGATGTGAGTGGAAATTCTCACTGAGTAGTGAGTTTTTTCTTCGTTTAGATTCTGTTGGTAAAGTTGTACCAGTCAATGAGTCATTCTATTTGCTAAAGTTTCAGTTTTGATTCCGAAAAATTAGTAATTTGGATCAAGCGATTCACTGTACTTGGTAGTTTTATTCCCCCAGTTGGAAGTGATGCAGTGGGATTCTATTTTGCCTCAAGTTTGAAGTGTTGTTGGGTAACTTGCAGATAACCCCCTCATCTACACCTTCAGTAGAATGTATTACCTCTCAACTATTTTGCGAGCGCTTAGCATGCCTAGATTTACATTTTGAGAAGGATAAAATTCCAGATAGCCTCCTCTCCTTTACAAATCTAGGGTGTTAAGTGCTACTAGAAATGGTTGTGCGGTGACAAGTGATAGTGAAGGTAAATATACGGGGAGTTGTCTGCAAGTTATCCTAAATTGTATGAGGCAGTGGGTAGAGATCCTCATTTATATTTTGGGTGGGCACTAAAAATTGCTACTTTGTGGTAGGCAGAAAGAATGGGAATCATAAAAGATAAAAGAAATAACAAAAGAAACAGAAAGGATTTTTGCAGATTTTTGGAGAATTTTAGTGTTCTAGAAGATCTTCTGTAGTTACTGACCCTTTCTTA